ACCATACACATGGTCTTCTTTTATTTTTGCCAGTCATGGCACTTGAACTCAGGGCCTGGCCACTGTCCCTGTGCTTCATTTGCTCCAGGCTAGCGCTCTACTACTTGGGTCACAGCACTACTTCAGGCTTTTTCTGTTTATGTGGTACTGAAGACTCGAACCCAGGGCTTTATACATGCTAGGCCAGCACTCTGCCACTAAGCCATGTTCTCAGCTCAGAAATGATCTTTTCTGAATGTCTGTGGGTACCACTTCTACCAGAGAACACTGGATGTAGGTTTGTACACAGCCAGATGTCCACATATTAACTCCTGACTGACCCAACATGACATTTTCAAATTTCTCCTAGAGTCCATGGAATGCCACACAAATATTTAGAATATTGCCCTTGTCTGGGTATGGAATCTTTTTACCCAAGAAAGAATGTCCTCTTTCCTAACCCAAATGCACACACACACCACCACCATCACCACCTACAACAACAACAATGTACAATCTCTGCTTTCCTTGGACTATAGGTTTTGATCAGCTGATTTTTCAATAACTAGCAAGCCACGTTTGCCTATCAAACCTGTCACAAACCCTCCTGAGTTTATTATATATCTTGCCTTCCAGAAGTTAATGTATCATCTTTATATACAAGTATCCCATCTTTCTTTAGTTAGTTACTTAAAATACTCAAGGAAGTCTTTATATCTAACATGCCCCTATCAGTATGTAAGTGATGGTACATTATTGTCCAATTGCATAACCCATTACTTTATAAAATACTATATACTGTTTCCCATTGGCAGTCTCAAATGAGCATGTTAGTCACACTGCTCATGAAAACATTCTCTTCATTTTACTCCCCTTTAAAGAATTTGAGGGAAATATTCCCTCCACTTTCCTTTTCTTTCTTTCTTTCTTTTTTTTGTCAGTCGTGGGGCTTGAACTCTGGGCCTGGGCACTGTCCCTCAGCTCTTCAGCTCAAGGCTAGCACTCTACACTTAAGCCACAATTGCCATTTCCTATTTTCTGGTGGTTTATTGGAGATAAGAGTCTCATGGTCTTTCCTGCCCCCACTGGCTTTGAGCCTTGTTCCTCAGATCTCAGTCTCCTGAGTAGCTAGGATTACAAGCATGAATCACCAGCACAAGGCTTCCACTTTCATAGTTAAAATATTTACATAGTCATTCTGGAGCAGACTAGTTTTCATGTATATGTAGTTTTCATTTATATGTTAAACAGTAGCCTACACTTACTTGCCTGCACCACTAGGTGGTGCACACATATGTTAATGAATTTGTAGGTTAAATGGGTTTGTTTCCAGATTTGGGTGGTTCAGGAGGTACTAGAGGGGTCTAGAAGAAATGGTGATCCAGTGCAGAAGGGAAAGTCCCCCAGAGGAGATGGATAGATTCATTGTTCACTACTAGCTGCAGAAATAATGGGGGAAGGGAGGCATAAAGAAAAGAAAACCCAAGGATTTGACAGAGTAAAAGTATGAAGAAGGGAAGAACATGTTTACTTTTCATGCTGATTAATTCCAATTGACCAGGGTCACTGAAGAGGGAATAACAAAATAATCATTTGAACTAAATGACATCAAACAGGATTTTGTTCTGGGTACAGCCCTGTCCTCTAGTAAGGACCTAATAAGAGAGAGAAATGAGCAAATAAGACTAAGCACATGGTACAAAAGATAAATTTTAACAAGATACGTTGGAAGAACAAAGTGAAAAAGAAAGGAGCAAAAGAAAAGAAGCGGAGGATTAGGTTTAGGGTGGGTATAATGAGATGATTTAATGGTAGTCTTGAAAAGTGAAGGGGAGGGTCTCCAGGAATATTATAAGAGTGTTGACAAAGAGAACAACATGAGCAAAGACATGGAGGTTTGAAAGGCTGCTGTAGGTTTGAGCACTGAGCTCAGTAAATCCTTAACTAAGTAGTTCTAGGGCCTTCGCTTCTAATATAATAAAGAAGATTCACACATGCACAGAACCTTGTGATGTGTGAGTATAACTTAAATTCTGTCCTTCAATCCCCCAGTGTCCTGGTTCCAGAAGTTTTTAGGGAACTCTTCATACTTGAAGAGGAAATCCACAAGCACAGCCCATGGTTGCAATTAATTCTGAGTTTATTGGTAATATTTTAGCTTCACTTGATCATTTTAGAATTGTGACATTTAAGACCAGAAGCAGACTGTTATACAAAGTTACACCAAGATGCCAGGATACATTTCCAGGTGTGTCTGACTCATATCAGGGTTTTTGTTATTGTTGTTGTTGTTGTTCTGCCTTTTTTTCTCACTTGGACCCTAGACATAGAGTTACCATTTCCTGATAGTTCTTAATTTAGAAGTTAGAAACTTTTCAGACAAACAGAACTCCTTCACCAACTGTGGATCATTTCAAAGTTAAGCTTATGGAAAAAGAAAGACACAATGAATTCTTCCCTTGTACATGAAAAAAGAAGTGCCAAGCCAAACAGGTTGGCCTTGGCAAAGGCATCCTGAGCCAATTTCCCCAGTGCTTTGCCTTCATGTTAGGAAGCGTGTCAGGCGGTGGGGGGGGGGGGCAGGGGGCGGAGGGGGGCATTCCAGCATTCTTTGTAGCTGGAGAGTGTGAATGTATGTTTCGTGTCAACTTGAGAGTCCATGCTTGCTATGTAGATGAATAACATCTTAGAGTTGTTACATTGTTTGTTTGAAGTCAACTGGAATGCCTTATGAGCTGGATGGAAAACAAGGATATGTGATCTGCTTTTAGGTTGTGAAAAGTTGTATGAGCAATGGGTAAAAAGATCCTAAAAAGGTTTTGGCAGGCATCCATTTAGTCAGTTACCTGGAGAAGAAGGATAACCCTGATGACAAGGAGGTTTGACAAGTCTCATAAGCAAAGAACAAAGGAACTGAAAATACTTAGCCTGGAGAGACAAAGACACAGGTCTTCTTTAGACTTGTAAGCGATTGTCAAGGTTTGAGGCAGCTATAAACAATGATGTTGTCATTAAATGAAGTGCATTCCATCCTGCTCTGAGGAGAGCTGTCTGGACAATAAGAAACACCATTACTTCTGTTCCTGTGGAGAAAAAGAGTGAAACAGTCCGATTAAGTGATAGGGACATTGCAGAGGGGATTCCTGCACTGGTGGTAAGTCAATCGATGGTTCCTGAATTCTAAGCATCCATACATAATTCTATGCATAGGGATGAGGCAGCTTCTATAAATCAGGTATAGATGACAACATCAATAATAAATAAAACTTTTATTGAGAACCTACTAAGTTTTAAGCATTTTGCTAAATGGTTGATGTATATTGTCCTACCTTGGTCAGGATAAGACCTGCCTGAGTTCTAGTCCTGAAAATGCAGCTGTAAGTGGATAATTTCTGCTTTCTGAATTTTATGTGCTTCCTGTCTATGAAATTTGCACTGAAGGATTCTAAGAGCATGAAAAAAAAATGATACATCAAAGTACCTAGTACTGTGACTGTCTTTTATTTGGTACTCAAACATGTTGCTGGCTTCCCCCTCTATGTTTAAGCTGAATTTTAGAAGTTCAGTCTCAGAGGCAAGATAAATAAAAGTAAGGTAAAGAGGGCAAGCATCAGAGAAGGAAAGGTGATCAGAAGCATTTAAAGAACAATGAGAGTCTGGAATTTAAAATCTAGAGCAATGATTCTCAAAATGGAGTTTGACATGCTAAAGAATTTTTTAATTAATTTTTTATGTTATTGTAAAGATTCTGTACAGAATGGTTACAGTTACATTAGTAAGGTAATGAGTACATTTCTTTTTGAACATTGTTACCCATGGGTGGCAAATCAAGTTTAGAAAGGAGGGAGGAATCAATGGGAAATCAAAGACTAAAGGAAGTCTGATTGAAGTCTTATAGAAGCTTCCCATTATTGTTCTCAAAAGAAGCTTCTATATTCACGTTTATACTTAGAGTCCCATAACCTGTAGGCCAGGACAGAGCTTCCCAATAGGTTGCTATGACAGAGCACAGGCCTTTGGAGATGTTGATCATGGAAGCCCTGGGGGGAAACAAGGCCAAGGAACCTCATACATATAACCTAGTATACTCATTCAAAAGGATAAGGATAGTTAGAGAAGGAATGATTGGATCATCATAGCATTATTGATCAGGCTGGAGAAATGAAGCAGCACCAAAGTATCTTAATTAGAAAGAAGTTATTATTTGAGATGGGCACCAGTGGCTCACACCTGTAATCCTCACTACCTAGGAGGCTGAGATCTGAGGATCACTGTTTGAAGCCAGCCTAGGCAGCAAAGTCCATAAGACTCTTATCTCCAATTAAGCATCCAAACAGCTGGAAATGGAGCTATGTCTCAAATGGTAGAGCATTAGCCTTGAACAAAAAAAGCTCAGGGACAGTGCCCTAGCCCTGAGTTCAAGCCATAAGACTCTGTCTCTCTGTCTCTGTCTTTCTCCCTGTCTCTTTCTCTGTCTCTGTTACTGTCTCTGTCTCTCTGTCTCTCTATCTGTCTGTCTGTCTGTCTGTCTTTCTGTCTGTCTGTCTGTCTCTCTCTCTCTCTCTCTCCCCCCCACACACACACATACCACATGCACAGAGTTATTGGAAGTTGAGAGTAATAGAAGCACCTACGACAAAGAAGGCTACTTGGGTATCAGACATTCACCAATGCCTCCAGTGTGAGCACATAAATCTAAGATTGGTGGAGACAAATGAGCTCTCTGCTGAGAGACTAGAAATTTCTATGTGGTCCTAGAGGGGCCTTATTCTACCAGGGTGTGATTAGAAGCCATAAAAGGACCCTTAGCTCTAATCATCTGCACTTCTAAGAATAAGCAAAAAGACTGTCCATTCCCTGTGTTCAGACCCTCTGCTGAATTGTGAATCAATACTATATTCCATAAAATTTATACAGGTCTATGTGTCCAAACATCAGTTTACATGTCCGTCCTGACCTGCTAAGCACAAGTTTGGCTGTGGCTTAAATCATTTGTTCTCACAAAGTGTTTTCTTTTGCAGCAACAGCGGCAGCTTGACCTCCTGACAATAACCAGCCCTGGTGAGTAGGTGCCGGCTGTTCTGCCTTGGCTTTTCCCTGTTTCCTGCCATGATGCTTTGTTGCCTATCCAAATGCATTTCCTGCCCTTTTTCCTTGACTCCCTGAAAGAATAGCAGAAATGTGATGCTAAGGATGACCTTCTTCCTCCCATCCTGTGCCTCGGGGGCACTTCCTTTTCTCTCTCCCAGCTCTGAGATGCCTCATCTTTGCTGTACACAGCTGGGCTGATACTGTGGATGTTGCATGTCTCTCTCAAATCACTCAGTGCATTCAATTGTCAAGGAAATGTCCTGGTTTTCTGAGTGACAAGTTTTAAAGTTATAGGGAGTGGAGAAGCTGACTTAAAGGTGTCATGGAATAAAAAATGGCTCAGAGGAGGAGGCAGGGTGAAGGAAATGATCAGGTTTGGTTGGTGATGCTGAGTGTCAAGATGATTTTAGTCTCTCACATTTAGAAGAAAGTTAAGAGTCCCCCACCAAAGATGTGACCATGGGATTAAAAGGTTATTTCTTTCCCTTAGGCTTGGCATCTAATCTAGAGAGAGGTTGAACAGTTTAATTTTGCCAGAGAGGTATTTTACTTTGGTTTGGTCAATTAGGACAAAATTGGAGAAGTCCAATTCTCTCACAGGTCCAAGGCGGTGGTGGTGTTTGGAGGATTGTTGGACATTTAACAGTCGATGTGGTGGTTCATTCTCAACCATGAGTGATACTCAAAATATTTAAGAGCTCTGATGACTACCTGTCACACTATGTATTAACATTGAAAAGTAAGGAGACAGGATCCTAAAGGAGGAGGAAGAGCTAGGGGATGGCTCATTGTCAATAAATACAGATATATTTCAATATCTTAGTAATCCATATGGCTGAACACTATATCATTCTCCCAAACCTGGGATAATGGAGGGCAATTGTCTCTCAGAGAAACTGTGAAATTGTGCTTTGCAGGTAATATTCTAGCACAAAGGCTGATCACCTGGTCTAAGTAAGTAGAGGAGGAGACAGTGACTGAAATGTAAGTTAGGATTACCCAGCTCAGATGGCCTTACTGATGGCCTTCCTATATTTCTGTGTGATAGTCTTCAGACTTCAGATTTCAGAAGAATAAATATGAAACTCATTTGAACAATGTTGAATCCATCTATGGAATTAATTTTATTCAATGCATATATGATTAATGTCTAGAGGAATTTCCTATTTTGGGCTGACATAACTAGAATGGTTTACTCATGTGGCTGGTCCAATTCTTCCTCATCAAGTTGCTGGTGAGGGATTATCCTTGTCCTGTTCTCTGGAATTGCAGCCTTTTCTATTACAAATGCTCTGCTCAGGTTTCCTCTGCTCGCACTCTGATGTAATGTCTAAGATGACTTGGAGAGGGTTCTTGATCTGTTGTCAGTTGCTTTAGAAGGACATTTTTAGACTGTTAAACAGTATTCCTTTTATGGTAGCCTTTTCTACTTCTAATTTCAAGTGCACAATTTCAAGCAGAGTAGTTGTAAGTCCCAGTACACTCCTTTTAGATAGCTGTGGGATTGCAAAATTCTCAGCACTGCTGGAGCTAGAGTGGTTTATAATTATCCCTCCTATTAGACTAGAAAAGAATCTCTTCCGGGTCAGCACTCCTCAGAAGGTATGTGTGGCGCACTGGTGTTCAGCAACTAGACTACACTTCAGTGCTATTGTGAGATATTGATCCATTAAGCTCTCAAGGTCACAGGTAGACCTGGGCAGATGGAGTCCAACTCTTCCCCCACAATGGTTGCCCCTACACTTTGTCAGAGTGCCAGACAAATATTATCCATGGGTTCCCTGGTTTGGAAAGGCTAAGAAGCACCATTACAATGGGGATTATCTCCATGTCTCCATTTCATGTCCAAAGCACTTTCATTAACTGTCTCTCACTATCAGATTCATTCTGGTTCTCCCACCATACCAGGACCTGTGGTAGCCCACAGCAGACTTGCTACCTGGCTGGGGCTGCCAGTGGGAAGCTCTGGCTTCTCTGTTCTCAATGGAACATCCCTAACATACTACTGCAGGCTGATGCTGCCATTCCACATGGACTAGGAACATTCTGAAATGCTGAGTGAGAATTTGCAAGCCTTAACAATCTGTATGGTATCTTCCTTAGAAATATTACTTTGTAGCCAGGCACCAGTGGCTCATAGCTGCTCAGGAGGCTGAGATCTGAGGATCCTGGTTCAAAGCCAGCCTGGGGAAGGAAAGTCTGTGAGATTCTTATCTCCAATAAACCATTCAGAAAACCAGAAGTGGCACTGTGGCTCTTGTGGTAGAGTGCTAGCCTTGAGCTGAAGAGCTGAGGGACAACAGCCCAGGCCCAGAGTTCAAGCCCCACGGCTGACAAAAAAAGAAAAGAAAAGAAATCTTACTTTGTTTATTGAGAATAATTCTGAATGCATAAGAAAGAGTAGATATATAATGACAGTCATTTACCATGCCTTTCCAATACCTTGGCCTTATCATATCAGCATTGTGCCATCTATACCAGAATCTCCGATTCAATCACTTATAGACATCACTGAAACTTTTCTATGTTCCTTCCTAAATGAATCTGTCTCCCACTACCCTAGAGGTAACTATTATCATGTAATCAACATTTCCTCATATTTGTGTGTTGGAAAATGTGACTGTTAGCATTGTATTATTCCCTATGAATAGTTTCATATAGCAAAATAGTCAACATTTTTCCATACTCAATATATTGAAGATATTAATCCATGTTGATACAAATGGCTCTGGTATATTCCTTTAATTGCTGTGGAATACTCCATATAACACTGTATTATTATTTATCTCTATTTTATTACTCACAATTTATATTATAGGTTCTTCCCAGTTACAAAGAGTGCTATTCAGAGCATTTTTATATGTCTCCTTGTGCATAAGTATGATAACTTCACTAGGAGACAGAGAGAAGGAGAGATTACTGATTATATGCATATTCAAATTTACTACATAATGGCCAGTTGTTCTCTAAAGTAAATTTCCCTTTCCCTGCATCCAGCACTTAGAAATATCACACCTATGAATTTCAGCAGTCACTGTGATAAATGGGAAATGGTATCCCATTGTCATTATAATATGTTTCCTTGATTACAAGTGGGGTTGGATATCTTTTCCTATATTAACTGGCTGTTTTGGTCTCTTCAGTGAATTAACTTCCCATATCATTTGTGCATATTCTATTGAATAGTTCCTTTTAAAAAAATTGTAATTTACTTTTCTAAATATATCCCTTATATTCACTGCAAATCACTTCACCTAGAGTATGGCTTGTACTTTGTAATTTTGTTTGTGATGTGTTTGGATAAATGAAAAGTATGTCTATAATTTTAATATTGAGTTTTTAAATTTCTTGCTTTATGAGCTTTGCTTTTGTTACTTGAGAAATTCTTCTCAACCAGGACATGATATTCTCCTATATTTAATTCTAAAATCTTATGTAAGTATTGTGTCATACTGTGCATCATTCAGGACTGATCTTAGTGTATGATAGGAAATAGGGATTTAATTGTGTTTTATACTTATGAATGGATAACCCAATGTCTAAGCACCATGAAATAATTAATTCATCCTTTTACCCACGTGTCAGCAATTACACACTTGTCACATGCTTTTACCTGTACACAATCTGTTTCTGGCCCTATGCTATTCCATTGGTTTACCAGTCTTACTATTCATCAGCTTCCACTGTCTTTTTTTTGTCTGTTGTGGGGCTTGAACTCTGGGCCTGGGCGCTGTCCCTCAGCCCCTCAGCGCTTCAGCTCAAGGCTAGCACTCTACCACTTGAGCTACAGCGCCACTTCTGGTTTTCTGGTGGTTTATTGGAGATAAGAGTTTCAAGGATAAGAGTTTCCTGCCTGGGCTGGCTTTGAACCTCGATCCTCAGATCTCAGCCTCCTGGGTAGCTAGGATTATAGGCGTGAGCCACCGGCACCCGGCTTCACACTGTCTTATCTATGATAAATCACAATTTTAATAGTATTTATAATTAATATAAAATATGCTGCCCCTTTCCCCTTATATGCTGTTCCTTTGAAGACACAATTATATATTTTTAAATTATAATTTTATTTTTTATTTTATTTTTGTGGCCAGTCCTGGGGCTTGAACTCAGGATCTGGGTGCTCTCCCTGACCTTTTGTGTTCAAGGCTAGCACTCTATCACTTGGGCCACAGTGCCACTTTTTTTTTGAGTAATTTATTGTGATAAATAAGAGTCTCATGTACTTTCCTGTCAAGGATGGACTAGATCTGTGATCCTCAGATCTCAGCCTCCTAAGTAGCTAGGATTACAGGCATGAGGCACCAGTACCTGGCTAAGCAACTTCTTATCTTAGGTAATGCCTATGGTTTCATGCTTGAGTCAAGAATGGGCACTTCAGGTGTGGGCTCTGATTTCTGTGCACTATGCTGTATAGGAACATGAGATTTGAAGTGGAACAAAAATTTGATGTAAGCCAGGAACAGGACTCATTCCTTTGCTCTTACCTCCTAGGAGGCTGGGGTTGGGAGGATCACGTTTTGCCTAGGCAGTAAACTTTCTGAAGCCCTCTCTCATCTCATTTGTTTACCTTTATTCTTTTTTTATACTCTAGGAATACTTTCTACCAAAGAATCTATATGCTCCTTTAGTTCTAGAAAATTACTGGGAAATTATTGGTGATTTATCTTTTCAAATATTGTTTGCTTCACTATTCCTTTGATTCATTCCTTTAAGTATATCTTTTACATAAATATTAATTCCTACCAAGTGGCCTCTGTGGTTTTTCAAAAGACTTTTTTAATGTTTTTATTTCTTTTTTATCTTACTGAACTGAATTTCTACACATAACATGCATGAATAAATTCACTTTTTGACCATGTCTAATCTAGATTTTTTTTTTATCTTCAAAAATATTTCAACAACTATATATTTTATTTTGAAGATTTCTAATTTTGTTCTTATCCACCTGTTCTTGTTTTATTTCTGCCTAT